GAGTAAATGGAACCGCCAATTACAAACAATTGGACCACTCTAATCTATATTAATAAAATAGTGATCTACAGTTGAACTCTACAGACTCATGGGTCTGCAATGAGGCACATCGGTAATCTTAAGCCAGAGGCAATATTTTAGATTTTGCATTTTTTGGCCTATGAAAAAAAAAATTTTTTATTTACTAATACATGCGGACCAAAGTACTTTTACATAATATAATCATATGTAAATATTGAACATGGTAGTTAATTTAAAAAATATTCTTTGTTTTATATTTAAAGATATACACATAGTAATTAATACAAACAAAATGATTTAAAAATATATTTTTATAGGAAAAAAACAAGAAAGAACGAGTGAGAACGAGAAAAAACGAAAACTTGTTGAATATAGTCTACTTACGAAAAATTACAATAATTCCTTTATTTATTTATATTTTGTTGTTATTTGTTACAGAAAATAAAATATTAATTGTGATTGGGAACCGGTTCCTTAGGACGCATCAATTTATAGGACCCATCAATTTATACTTGGTCAAAACGACCCAAAAAAAACTGAAGCGTTAAAAATCTTTCAGTTAACATATTTTGATTGAGCTTAAGAATAAGGGATGGATTTCCACGGGCATTTCATCTGTCACTGACGATCGGCAACGCCGTGCAGGATCAGCTGGCATAATGGTTAATAAATATTAATAATATAACCTCAATTCGTGGGATCATCCATCAGCGGTCATTTTCTTTTCGAATCTAGCACCGAGACACTTTGGACAGCACTATTTATCCATCGTTTCTCATTGGTGTGGTAATTTTATTTTTTCATCGATGGGATGTGTGGGGTGACACTTTCACGCCCTCTCTAGGGACAGGTCTGATTAATAATGTATCAATATATAAAATAAGGTATAAAAATGTTTGAAGATTTAAACAAACGTCAAATATAAACTATGGGGCGCGGGCCAGAGGGTCTTTGCCACTCACTGTTCCGGATTGGCATCAATTCATGCAGCCACCCAGTAAAAATAAGCTAAATTGTGCCAATGCAGCATAGCGACTTGACTTGTTTTTGTGTTTTTTGATTCTGCGCTATTGACTTTGGCGTGCACCTAGGGATGGCAATTTGCAAGGGTTTATCGATATTTGTCCTTTTTCCCTATCAATGTGCAGGTATTTATTTAAAAAAAAAAACAACAATACAAAACCAGGTGAGTAAATAGTTTGAAATTGTTTATATCATTATACATGGGTAGCATTTTGCCAATTACACATAACCGTCACCCGGCAGTAGAACTTTACCAAAATTTCAACGGCCTATCTTTTGCTTGAAAAAGCAATATTAAGAAAAATATCGATTTTCAGGTTATCGATAGGCATATCGAGTTTCAGATAATGGACCTACCTTACATGCATATATGTTTTCACGAACATCGCACTCCACCAAAGTCGACTATAAATAATAATTGAAAAGCGTTACCCTCTTTGATATTTTATAGTCAAATATTTTTTTATAATAAGCACAATAATGTACTGGCCAAGATAATATTATAACCGCACTACGGTTTGTGGTATATTATGTGGGCGAATCGTCGCGTTACAACTTTCTCGGCTGTATGAAAACAAAGTACCATATTATAATGTATTGTTATGTTTCAACAGGTCGAGTGCCATGAGACCCGATTTTGGATTTCATCTAGATTTTGATGACTGCCAATAATAGAATAATCATTTTAAAAATTTGTTTTCTATTGCCATGGTGTATATAATTGAAATATATTTTGATATTTTATGGTTATATTTAAATGTCTTAGAAATAATAATAATTTTGGGTTTTCGGTATTCATAACAAAATATAGTGCAGAATCTGAAAACAAGAAATCGATAAATGATAACCGATATTGGGTATCATTTAATGAAAGTATAATATTAGTGGCACCAAAATGCGGTTCTCATAGTAATGTAAAAATTTCACCGAGAACCAATTTTAAGTCAGATGGCAACATTCGAAAAAACTATAAGAATTCACATGGCGTTCAACCTGCTTTAATAATCATATCGAATATGTGGTTGATAAATTATAATATTACATTAGTATACTATCCTTGGCGTTTTCACCAATTGCAATCCGTCCGTGACTGACGAGCAGAGGATTTTGTGCCTAAATTGACCATTTCGGATTTACAGATACATAATAATATAATGCGAATTTTGCAATTCGAGTTTGGGCACGACAAAAATCCAGTGAGGAAGTCTATAACGATTATTATGATTCACGTCACACGTCGTCTCGGTCGTAATTTTTCAAAAAACATTAGCTAGACGAGGTATTATAGGTACCTCGTGTTTACTGCGGTGGCGCCAAAGTGCTTTTTTTTTACACACCTAGGGGTGAAAAATATTATTTTCGAGTTTTAGGCCAACCCCTAAACCGTGTTCACCCGGTGCTCAACCCATTACAAAAAATGAGAACATTTACATACTTCTGCACGTGTGGAAAAATACTTTCCAACTCACATAACATTATACATTGGCATTGAACACATATTATAGTTTCCCACGAAAACCCTCCCCGACCGCCACTGCACTGGGCACCCACCTGTATAATATTATAATACTCACTCCTACACGGCTAAAGTTATTGCTGTATTTTTTTTCCGTTTCGAATTGGATTCCGTGAACATTGACCGACACACACGTACTATAATAATAATAATATTTCAAGCGTACGACACGTGTACCTACTTCAATATTATACATTTCCACGATTTGCACCCGACCGGATTGAAATTATTAAAACCATAAAATATGACGTGAATTTTCGACCGCACACGTGACGGTAGGTAATGATGTACTTGACATTCGTCGGCGATTGATCTCGACAAGGGCTCAATATTTTTGTGTTTATCAAAAAAATAACAATGATTATTATTATAATATTATAATATTCCCTAGGGGCCCTGCGGCGACGGAAAACAATGACCAAAAATTAAAATATACTGCAGGATACCTAACGCCCAATATCAGGGATGGCGAACCTTTTTGTTCCAGCGTGTCAAATAAAAATTTTGGTTGGATTTTGTTTTTCCTGCGTGTCAACTAGCTCCATAACCCTTCAATTTTTTTTTCAAAAACTTTAATATTATCAAACTTACACATTCGCGTGTATCACTAAAATAGTGTGCGCGTGTCATAGGTTCGCCATCTCTGACCTATATGAACACCTATTTTTCTTGGACCCAAACTGACTTGTCAGAACAGCTGTTGCAAACTACACCTACCGCTTGTTATCATATTACTGTTAACTTTTATAAAATAATTTAACCTAAAATACTGTAAATAGTGTAAATACCACAAATTTAATTATAATGCTTAAATGCTTTAAAATAATCATTAAAAAAAAATCATATAACATTATATTTTTCTATTATTTGTATTTTAAAATAGTCAATCTAGTAGTGTACATCTAATTCCCCTGGAGCTCTAGTATACCTTTACACATTTGAAAAGTCAGTTTTGGAGCTCCTCATCATGTATCATCGAGTATCCAGTATATTTTAATTCGTGACAATGACAATGGAAAAACAGACGCCTCCGCTGAGACTTTCTCCGTTTGATCGTCGCATATAATATATATATATATATATATATATATTTATTGTACTTGAACGAAACGGAACAGTAACTTTGTATAATAGTAGGTTCATGCAGAACGCAGGGATTTTTTTCAAGGACAAGTCCTTTAAACACAACGAAGAAACGAATTTTGATAGTCCAAAATGTGCATGAAAAACACTAAAAAAAAAAAAAACATTTTTTTCCCCTGAAATGTTCGCAGAAAAGAGCCACTCAAACAACGACATAAAAATCAGTGTATTCGGTACGTATCGGAGCAAATAAGGTAATAAACGATAACACCATTGTAGGAATCTACGGCGCTATACATCGACGGTGGACAGGGGTGGGGGAAGCGGGAAAGTGTCATTCCGTCCGGACGGCGCCGCGAAACAATGTCCGGAGGTATACGACGAACGCTCGCGCCCACAATGGTAGTTCATTACGATGTATAATTATTATTATTCAGTGTTATCGGCACAACCATGTTGTTGTTGTGTGTGTTTCGTCGGAAAAAAATATCGTATTTTAATAATATTGAGTTCGGAAATGAATAATATAATATTGTAATATGCCATCCGATAATCCACGCCTGCGTCGCGGACATCGGGTGATTCGATATCGATCCGCCGCCGTGATTCGTCGAATCATTGCGGTTTCCGAGAAAATATTTTTTTACAATGTAATGCATAATAATAATAATAATAATAATAATATTACGATTTTGCGTAGTATTTAATTTGCACCTGCAACGATAAAAAATTGGCCAAGAGACGACTATAATAATATTATTGTAACGATAGAGGCGATATGGACCACCAATCGCAGACGCCAAACAAAATAATAAACTACAAACAACTTGTTTTTTTTTTTTTTAATAACAATTTTTAATTCAACTATCAAAAAAAATAAAAATAAAATAAAATACAAATACAAATAATAATGATCAGTTTTACAAAATAATAATATCGTTATACATATTACACTGTTACGCTATAGGTACACACACACACTCACATATACGTATTAGGTATAATATAATATAATAATCTAACGTACAAATTGCATTTTGGTATAATATTATAATAAAATAAAAACATTAATTATTATTTTTCAAGTTCATTAACGAACGCGATAGTAATATATAATTTTCAAACAAGTCTAAATAATCAGATAATTTGCTTAATTAACATTGCACGGCAATTTAAACAACATACTTACGTAACATATATATATATGTATTTATGTGATATCTACGTTACCTAATAGTTGAACATTTCTATTTTCATATTAATTCTATAATCTAGACGCATCAGTACATCGCATCACACATTAAATTGAGTTCAAAGAATTTGTGATAATCATTATTTATTATACTATCTGTGATTCAAGCGTAACAATAAACGGTTTTATTTTATTTTCAGTTTAATAAATTTAATATCTTATCGCCGTAATCACGCTGGTACAGGTAGAGTTCACACATCGAAATAGAACGTACCTACATAAAATATTATATCTACGCTAATAGTATACGAACGGAATTTTAAGCTGAAATTTTTGTTCGACTCTGATTTCCATTAAAATAAAAATCTACCATTAAAAAAAAAAGGCCATAGGAACGTCGGTTGACATTTTATAATAATGAATTTTCGCGAAAAAAAAAAACAAAACACGTCACTTTGTTAGACGACGGTTAATGATCAATATTATGTTTTCAAAATGTTTAAAGTCGCATGTTTTGATCGTACGGGTAAAATAAAAAAGTACATAAAATATTGTGAGAGTATAATATAATATAACATCATATACGTAAACAGGTTTGGGGTGGGCCCACACCTCTACTTAAACAGAACCCACTGCTCAATAAAATCAAAAGTCTAATTCGATAAACTATAGCTAGCACCTTATTTGGTATTAATCGTATGTTTTACTTTTTCGTCCAAGACACGACAACGTTATGGTAATGTCGTGGACTTGATCCCGGTCTGCAAAGGTCAAACCAAATCATCTCCTGCTCTTGTAGTCCCTGTTGCTCTATCCTTTCATTCCTCCTCGTAACACATACACACACATACATATATATTTATACATAACATAAACTATGAAACATGTGATTCGCTACCTATTATAGACGCTAATCCCTAATAATACGATTGCTTGACTAGGTCGATTTGTGATATTTACACATAATAAAACACGAACGTACGTATAACGTACACATAAAGTACTAATTATCTGTGATACTATTATTGCTGTTGTTGTTGTGATTATAATAATTATAATAGCGTGACGGGCGGACGCGAGTGACAAAGCGTCGACGAAAAGCCGTGATATACGGTTAAATTTCGTACAAAAAAGATGAAATAAATACTTGGAAACTGGTCGGTTTTTTTTTACAATGTAAAGAATAATAGTAATAATAATGATAGAAAAAAACTAGTTTTTGTCCGCAGGCTAACTAATATGCTACTCGCGATGAGTTATCTGCAGTACCTACTGTAGCGACTATTTCTTCCACGCGAAAATAACTGCTATGACGACGACCGCGGAGGAGCTTGTTCTCGTGGTTGGTATTTTTAATATATTTTTTTTATTCGTCGCTTCGTGCTTTTCCGTTCTCGACGTCCTTGTTTCTTGTTCGGCTAACACACGCCCACGCAGGGGTCACACGCAGTTGGAATAACAACAACAATAATAATAATAACAATAATAGTTGGTATATACTTTACAAATATAATTAACAACACTTATTATTATGTCATCATATATCGGGTCGTTTCGGTGTGCACCAGACACACAGTGGCGATACACCACCTACGCGTTCAAAACGATAAAATCAATAATAATTTTAAAAAAAAGTCTTTTTCACATGATATCGAGTGGACGGTTTTTACGCGATGACCCGGCGAGTAGAAGCATTCCTGGTGGCCGCCGCGTGATTACTGCGTTTGTGCAGCTCCTTTTCCTTGTCGATATGGGTGGCCACGTCGGCAGGGCAACGGGATGGCGGCGCCTCCACGTAACCACTCTCATCGCTGTCTTCCTCCTCTGATAGCGAGTCCAGGTCCATGGCGATCTTCTTGCACGCGTCTGATCCGCCGCTAGATATGCTCTGTAGGCTGGGCGTGGATTCGTCGTCCGGATATCCACAGTCTTTTTCCTCGTCCAAGTCCTCCTCGTCCACGTCCAAATCATCGTCAGCATCTTCGTCCCGACAGCCTTCGAACAAGAGCTTCCGGTTTTTCACTAGGTTGTTGTAGGCGCTAAGTAGCTCTGAGTCCGAGCTTATTCGTTTGAACTGATCGCGACGTCCACCCACACCACCGCCTATGCTCTCGAATAGCTTCTTCCTGTCCCGGACCAGGCTGTTGTATTTGTAGCACACATCTTCTGGACCTTGAGGACAGTCGACGATCACTTCATTGTACTTGGGAAGCAGCTCATGTTGCTCGACGCAAATCGTTGATGACGAAGAAGACGAAGTCGACTCTTGATCTTCAGCTACGGCGTCTCGGTAAGACGGCAGCGATTCCACGGAATCGCAATCTACATTTTGATACGATTGAGCGCTGTCGTCCGTCAAACCATCGTCCCCTAGGTGCAGGCTTTCTGCAAGTCGGTTTTCGATCTCGTTCACCATTTCGGTGGCGTCGCTAGTGACGTCGGCGGAGGTATTGGCAGCAGCGGTGGTGGCGGCGGCGGTTGCTGCGGTAATGGCGGCGGCAGTAGCGGCAGCTGTCTCCCTGTAACCGTGGAGTCCACCCAACCGGTTGCGCAGGGTGCCGGTCCGCAACCGGTTCTCGGCTCGGCATCTCCTGAACGCCGCACAAGAGTCAGCCGGTTCTTCGTCCTCTTCCAGGCTCTCTTCGATGGACACGAGCCGCGGTGCCGACTTCGATCGCTCCAGCGGCGGTCTGTAGTTGTGCGACCCGGTTGACAGCAGGATCTTGCGACGCGGCAGCGACGGATTCTCGTACACGCTATTGGCTAATGACAGTCGGGCGTTCTGCCGGCTGATCTTGTCCCGCTTGAACTCGCTGAGAGCCTGAGCCAAGCGACCGCGCAGCTGGCCTGCGATCTGCCTGGCCACCGACTCCTTGGTGCACACAACCGCGTGACACCGGAGCTCCTGCTTGAGTTTTCGTCCCTCGTGCCGGTACACCCAGCAGAAAATGCGAGGGAACTGCGGTGACGCCAGGCAATAGGTTACCCGGTGGCTCCAGTACTCGGTCAGCCCGTGCTCCTTGGTGAACGCTTTCAGTCCCGACTGCGTGATGGTCAGCTTCATGTGCACGTCCGGTTTCTGGTTACACGTGTAGTTCTTCCACAGGCTGCACAGCGGTTTCTCCACACACATTTCACCTGAAACCACAAAATGGTAATACGTTAGATAAGGTCAAGGTCAGAGGTTTGGCCGAACAATGACGACAACATAAATAGGTAGCTAACACAGTTGGAATGGATGGTAGAGGGTATAATAATCCGTCACAGACCAAACACCAAATTTACGATCAAACAATTGACCGGTTATCGTCATTGGCATAAGCGAACCACAGGCTGTGGTCGAATAAAATCGCTAGAAATGTTCCGTGAGTATAGGACCTATGCATTATTTGAATATTTTTTTACAGATCGACTCGTGCCGTATACGATACTAGTGAATAGATAATAGGTGCCCATACGAAGGCTGTAAAACTCGGTAGTCATTATTTCCAACGTCCATAACATAATTATCACCACCCTGCTTCGACGTGTACGTGTGTGTTTAATATCATTAGTTTGTTAGAATATTCCTATCACGAGTTAAGGACGGTTTGTCCGAGAGAAGCACTCTCAATTTGGCAACCGGCAACTTATTATATATTATGATAGTATTACTATGCGCTGGCTTTTCCTACCTGGCGCGTCTGTTGTCGTGCAAACAGACAATAATAAGTCATATCGCACTCAGATCACGATTCCCAGTTTCAGCCACCCCCCCCCCCCCAAGCTTGGCCACTACTAAGTAACTTGTTATTGCGCGCGCGTGCCAATAGGTACCGGTTCCGCGATCGAAACGTCGCGTACACAGTGTGGGTGTGGTGTACGAATGTGGATGTGGTTAGTGGGGGAGGTAGTGTATGCGGATGACAACACTACGACATTTCGATTAAACGTCCGTGCTGGATTCGTATATAAAAATAATCGACGACACCTTTCTAATTATACCTACCCGGAATGGTGCCTTGCGACTTCAGAAATTCGAGAAGATTTTCCACAAAATATATTGTTATTAGTAGAATATCAACGCGCGCCCACCCGCACACACCTGAATATCATTTTGCATGGATACCGCTGTATTGTATAACACGTGATGTCATAACAATGTTTAGTGAGACAATATTCTTATGCATTTGTGTATCAAGTTCTTCTTTGTTATCGTATTACACTCTATACCTGTTACCTTTTGCCCTTACTCTACAATTGATTAAGATGGCGGGGCCAATCGTTTCTTATAGCAAGGCCGTCGGAACATTTTTGTTCGACGAAAATTGAAAAAGAGTTGGGCAAGTACCATAAATTCTGCGCAGTAATTAAAAACAATTAATAGGTATTTCTATATCGGAGTCCTATGACCCAATAATATTGTGTATTATATTTTTCGATAAAAAGAAGGTTAAAGCGACACAGGACACCGCCTTGAGATGACAAGTACAATGAGGCAGGCAACATATTCACCTATAAAACAACGTGTTCGGACACACAAATCAATGTAGTCACGGTTCACGGACAATATATTTCAGAGAAAATAGACGAATTTCAAGGTTTCGCGTCGAATGCATATTATATAGACTGTCGCCCCGATCGAAAAACACAACGATGGCGTGTACACACGTTCCGGTGTGTTCTTTCCGTGACACTCAACACGGTGCAGCGTATCGACGGCGATCGGATCGGAACAAAGTTTTCCATTTCTTTATAGTGAACACTCTATGCTAGGTACATGATACAATGTTTTCAACACGAACCGGCGGCGAGTACGGATGACAATCCTTTTTTCTTTTATTATTATTTTCATTTAACAATGATTTATACCACGACGCGACACCAGCGCGAGAGTCGCGTGACCCAGCCCACGTATCGGACACCGTTGTTATTATTTTAATGGACGATATTATACCGCCTGTTTCGACGTGAATACGAGCGTCCGCAAAACGTTATTCAATAATATTATGATGTACTTATACGCCACACCCTCCGGAGAATTGTAGCAGAGAATATTACGTATCAAATCCTCGGGGTGCCTTTAATGTATGGAAACCGTATTATTATGCGTTTTGTACGATATACCTACTTAAAAACGTCTGGATAAGACATGACATTATATATTATTGTACGCATTGGCCTCAGCACTTTTGTTATAATTACTCGTAAAAGTTTTTCGTGCCGATAGTTTCCATCACGGTCCACAAATCGATTACATTATATTATATATCAGAGAACTAGAGGTGAAGGTCAAATATGCAATCAGAATATTATACCGACGTTGGTGGTGTATATAAATTAACGAGCGATAATGTGATTATGATGTACTACACACACACATATATATATAGGTACAATATGATATGTAGTACTTATGCGATACGAGTATACGAATAGATTTTGAAATATCATTAAACGTACATCTTACCTACCTACCTATCACTTCGAGCGAGGCACACTTCATTTTGATCATCGACAATATTGCATATGTATATTGTATATATACATGTATATGTACATATATACATACATATCTAACAGTTGCATTAATTGCAGTTCAGTTATTAATGCACATATTTTACACATTGCACCGCTGTCTTATATTATTGTACACAGTGTTACATACTTTATATTAATTATTATTAATTGTATTAAATATAAATCTGTCGACGACTAGATGTGAACATTATTCCGCATAAACAAACGTGAAGATAAATGGAATTTTTTTTATTTTCCTTTACGTATTATTATATTCGACACTATGAATTTCTTGGCGTATACATATATATATATATAACTAGCTGATCCCTTGCACTTAGTTGTCCGTTAAAAATGCCTACTCTATATGAGACTCGATGGTGATAATGCGAGCAGTATATATTATGCCTACCTGCTGTGGATTGCGGACCCAGTTTGATGAGTACTTTATATAAATAATATGTTTTATTTTTATTTTGATTGCGGACTAGCCGATGAGTGGCTCTAAGAGCAACTTAGCCACATTGGTAGGCAATGTGGGCAAATTTAATTGTATGCATGCTTATACCTGATCTACCCGATGAACCACTGCAAACAACCAATAAAAAAAAAATAAATAAAATTGTCTACTAAATATATTTACATTTCTCCTATAACTAATAGCAACCGTATACAAACAAATATTTCCTTCGTAAATCTTCGGGACCTATCGGGTCCAATTGTGTATCTAAACTATCCAGAGCGTCACCCAAACGCACACAAAAAAAATCATTCAAATCGGTCCAGCCGTTTAGGAGGAGTTCAGTGACATATACACGTACAGTAGAATTATATATAAAAACATAATACATATAATGTGTGCGTGCATTGGTATTCGAGTCGTGCGAAAATCAATTGGAATGCGATGTGAAAGTAACCGTAAGCGCATGCCGACACTGCGTGCGAAGTCGCTCAAGGAAAACCGAGTTGATGTTTAAATAAAAAAAAAAAAAAAAATAAGCGATCCCGGCCACATAGGACGTCGGGTTCGAGAGAGACAGGACACACACGAGGGAAAACACTGCCGTTGGATAAGACACGCGAATTACTAAGGCACTACTTTTGAACGTAGACCATCTATCGCGGGGAAAAGGACGAATGAGATGGATACGTATAGGTACGGTGTGAAATTGGTTCCGGAACTGAAGAGTACATGTTTGGATAATCTCCGTGAATATCGAAACGTTGATTTCGTTTATTCCACCATTTAAACATTTCTGTTATTAATCTCGTATATATATATATTTGTTTGATAGTATCGTACATAATATTATAACATACCCACTATACAGTATAGGACCGAATACGAGATTGAAAAGCGCCGTTGGTCTTAAAAATCGCATCGGCATACAAATAAAACCGAAAGCAATAATATTGTAGTTTATGTGCACGAGTGCTCTGAGAAATAATCCAGCAGCCTATACATATATTATGTATGAACTCGATTAATGTAATGTTATTATAGTTTACCATATGACAAATTACTACAACAACGTACGAGGGAAAAATAACTATATAAGAAACAATAAATTAGGTCCCTCGGGGTTACGCTATACCTAGTTAATGAGACGAAGTCGCAGGTATGATACGAGCAGAACGGTTTCCTCTTGGGTGATAGCAATACACACTACAATATTATACACCTATATATATATGAGGCGAGACTATAATATACATAAGTGGGTCAACCGCAATGGAACATCTAAAGGAACGATCTCCGACGCCATTTCAGGTCAGCACATAAATATAATATTAAAACTGATATTAAGAATGATTTTAAAAAGAAAAAACCTTATCCGACAAACGCCAGGTCAAAAATCTAATTATAAAATAACAAATCGATGTAAAAAAAATTCAGTACTCGTATTGGCACAATACATTTGATAATGTATGATGATATGTATGCATGATAATTGTATTACTTGTGTACCTATATAGGTATAATACTTATAAGACTATTACACTGAACTGGGACTTGCCTAAAATAGGAAAGCCGGAACGAACAATGTACACATTATTGACTACAGAAAGTATATTGTGGTCAAGTCAAATTAGCCAACCTAACCCCATGTGTACCGCCAATGAATTAATGCAATTTTGATATAAATCTATGAAATATGTGCATATTAAACAAATTAATATCGTAATAATAGTCTCATATTCTCTCACGATACTTATACACACATTGCGCTATTTACAATATTTAAATACAATAATATAAAGAGTCGGCCAGTGGATATTACTTAATAGCACGCTGCAGTTATTTGGGATTCACAATAATAACGACGCCATTGAACTCGGTCTTACGACGAAAAATCAGTGGGTAAATGTTTTGTTTTTTTGAATCCCACTCGTCGTCTGCTATAATATATCATTACGATACCGATATTATAAGAGATCGTTACATAACAAAATGAACGCCATATTTATCGTCCATCCGAAGCAGGATACGCTAGGGCACCGTTCACACCGAACACGTGTAATATGTTATCGTATGTTATCCATGCTACTCTTCTCCGGTCGAGGGAGACCCGGAACTTTGTACACCAGCATCATTTCCGAAACCGGTTCGTGACTGCGGCAACACAGTATTATAATGA